AGCGTGGTTCCGTGTTTATATGGGCATATACAGATGTATCTATATAGAGATGTGGAAATATAAGTGTATGCATCCATATATATTCATATATACAATAAAGCACATGGGGACAAACATGGATACTTCTTAGACTTAACCAAACACCTCATGGGACTGGTTTATGGGGTCTGAAGGCTTAGGACCATAGTCTTGTGGGACAACTCAGTCAACTGGCACAATACAGTATGTAAAGTTTATGTTCTACATCTTAGTTTGGTGAGTAGCATCTGGGGTCTTAAAAGCTTGCAAGTGGCCATCTAAGATACTACTATTGGTCTCTGTGTGACCAGGGTAAAAGAGAAAGAAGGAAACCAAAGACTCAGAGAAGAAACTAGTCCACAGGACTAATAGGGCATAAGAAACATGACCTCATCTACCCTCAGACTAGAAGAACTAGATGGTGCTCGGCTACCACTACTGACTGTTCTGATCAGGAACACGATAGATAGATTCTTTTCTCCTGTGGAGAACAGAACTCAAATTTTTAAAAAGTGTAGACTTATTGGAGTTGAGACTGGAGGACTCCCTGAGATTATTGCCCTGAGGTACTCTTTAAACCCTGAACCAAAACTATTCCATGAAGTCATCTTTTTTGTGGGGCTTTCTTTATTTTTTTAAATTTTTTTTGTGCAGTAGGTGAAAGTTTACAGAGCAAATTAGATTTCCATTAGATAGCTTGTACATAAAGTATTTCATGGCCTTGGCTTCATTCCCCACAATGTGTCAGCATTCTCCCCATTTCCGCCCTGGGTTCCCCGTTTCCTTTCATCCTCATTTTCTACCCCTTCCTGCCTTCTCATCTTTGCTTTTGGGCAAATACTGTCGTTTTGATTCATGAGGTCACCTGTTAGCTAACAGACTAATTCATAACATAAACTGTATCATCTGTGAATACTATGCTCCTTTAAAATCATCTACATGAGACCAAACAGGCAACATTTACTCAATAGCAAAGCCCTGAAGGTAAGGGGGCAGGGAAACTAGATTACTGGAAACAGAAAAACCAGAATGGAAACAATGAGAAAGTTGAAACACTATGAAAAATGTAACCAATGTCACTGAACAAACTGTATAAATTGTTAAACAGGAACCTAATTTGCTGTGTAAACTTTCACCAAAAACACAGTATTTAAAAAACAAACAGTCATGTAAAATAGTATAATCCATTAAAATATACACATATACCATAATGATCAAGGAAAAAACAACTGCCATACCAAGATGTTCTAAGGCAGTGTGGTTCTTTATTCTTTATCTGAATAAAAGGCCTCTATTGAGAATCTGAAGAAAACTAAGGGTCCCCTCCCAGAAAAGAAGTACACACATTTTATATAGAATTCCCTGGAGGGTAGGGGTGAGGTAGGGAGGGGTGAGATGGGTGGTGATGGGGGGTGGGTTGTCCAGACCTCCTGAAGCCCATCCACAGATCTCAAGTTATAAACCTCCATGGAAGGAGGTAAAATAATTCAATTCCCTTGCTCTCATGGAAAACTGAAACACAACAAAGCTGTCTCAATTTTTTGAACATCTGAGAAAAGATCATCACCTCTAGGACAATAAAGTTGTAGATACAGATTTGGGTTCTTTTTTTTCTTTCCTATTCTGACAATAGTTTTAAAACACAGCATTGTTCAATTTTGATGAAGGGCTTTATAGAGGAATTCTAACAAACAAGGGAAAATGCAAAACAGAATTTCAAATTCTCATGGAATACAGCCTTTCTGGAGCCATGGAGGCTGGATGAACCCTTGGAACTACCGCCCTGAGATAATTTTTAAAATTTAAACCAAAAATATCCCCTGAAGTCTTTTTAAAACCAAACAACAGTTAAGCTTAACTAGTAAAAAATGTCTGCCTTGAACATTATGCTCTTTTTAGAACTATCTATAACTATCTAACTATCAAACTGTCAAAAGCAACTCCGAAGATTAGACAGGAACCTCAGGGGAGAGTAAGTTTATGTTAATGAGGGAGGAAAAACTCAGAAAAGTAGGGTGAGAATAGCTGCATAACTCGAAGAATGTAATTAGTGTCACTAAATTGTACATGTAGAAACTGCTGAATTGGTGTATGTTTTGCCGTATAGATTCTTAACAACAACAAAATATACATAGCATTGTTTCTTAAGTTCTGAACTGACTTGAAGGTAGATTACCTTACATTATATCCTTTATCTACTATATACTGGTAGACACAAATCAAATATTTGTTGAATGGATGACAACATAACATAGCCAAGAACATGAAGCAGCTTTCAGGAGAATGAAAAGACAAGGCTTGCCCTCTTCCTACATACATGTCCACATCTATAATGGAAGAAATCATTCATTTCTTCTGCAGACAGGCCACCAAGGTCCAGAAATTTAACAATGATTTGGAAAAGAAAAATTACAATTTTTTGAGAAATCTTCAATTTTAAAAAACAAGATGATTGCTAAAGGGAAAGATCTCGTTTTCAGTTATTCGTATTTTCACAGTGTATTACAGCAGTTCTTCAGAGGAGGATTACATTTGTACAGTATTCTGTTTATGTGGCTATCAGGAAAACAGCGTTACCTAAGTATCTCGGCTAATATTTTAATTCTAGACTTCACAGAAGGGCCAAGAAAATGAACCATAACATTTTAGAGCAGGAAAGGAACTTGGAGATAACCAATCTAATCCCTCATCTTAAAAAACAATAATATCATGAATAATTTGTTCCAAGAAGTGATAGGGTGGGATTAGAAATGCAATCTATCTCTTAGTCTAGAGCACTCACAAAGCACGAAGGGAGATATTTAAAGAACGATTTCTAATGTCAGATAAGGCAAAGAAGATGGCAGCAATGGTGATGTACTATTATTACCAATAATCGGAGTGCCTAACAAGTGGTAACATTACATGAAATGTCTTACAATCTTATCTTATTTTAAAACCACACTTCCACAGAGGAACTAGTATCCCCATTTTAGAGATAAGGAAACACAAAGGCTGCTACTTGCTCACGCAAGTGTTTAAAAAGCCCTGGTGGCACGGCGCGAAAAGGTTGGCAGTTCAAACCCACTAGCAGCAACGTGGGAGAAAACGTGGCAGTCTGCTTACTTAAAGATTTACAGCCTTGGAAATCCTGTGGGGCAGTTCTGCTCTGTCCTATAGGGTTGCTATGAGTTGGAACTGACTCAGTGGCAATGGGTTTTTGTTTTTTTTTTTAGGTTTGACTTCAGGGCCCATACTCCATTATTCCATAGTTACAGAAAAAAATTCTGACTCCACTAAAACCTCTATTCCTGAAAGCTGCTGATATAAATCCTTAGATTGCTCTTGCTGTTAGGTGCCATCGAATCGGTTCTGACTCAAAGCAACCCTATGTCCAACAGAACAAAACACTATCCAGTCCTAAGTCATCCTCACAACTGTTATGTATGAACCCACTGTTGCTGCCACT